TGTGGCGTAGCATTTTTTTAATCATTATTTACTCAAAATCAATTTCTTATCCCGTAAGGTGATTTTAATAGCTTAACACCCATATATTCAAAATATTAAACAAAGATTACATTTTGATAATTTAGAAGTATTATATATATAATATATATATATATTTAATCAATTTCATATTATAATTTCATATATTTTATATATATTATGTAATATTACATTATAATTTAAGTATTAAATTTATTTTAATATTAATTTAAATTATTTTTTTTTTTAATATTTAATAGATTAAAATATTAAAAGTTAATATTATAAAACATTAAACAGAATCAATTCAAATAAAAAAAAATAAAAATAATATTTTTAATCTGATTAATCAAAATAATTAATATAAAAGTATATTTTATAAGATGTATAAATTATTAATTAAATAAATATTAGAATTTTATCTTATTTAATTAATTTTTTACATAATTAAATGTAAATTATTTTATTAATTAGTTTTTAAAAAATAAGAAAAAAAAATTAATTATTTTAAAATTCTGCTTCAATTATTAAAATTTTACATTATTATACTTTTTTAAACTTCATATTATTATATTATTTTTTCAAATTTTGTATTAATTTTTTTCAAATTCTGCCTTAATTTTTGAATATGGGTTGATTGCTAGGAAAATCAGATTCTGGGAATTTTTTAGCAAAATTGAGATTTTTATTGCATTTTAATTTTTGATATTATTAGATTAAAATGTATTAAGCTCTTAATTTTAGTCAAAAATTTCTTAGAACCTGATTTTTCTAGAAACACTCCCATATTACTTTATTGGGATTTTTTAAAAAAAATATTAATGATAAATTAGTATTAGAATTAGAATTATAAATATTATTAATAATTTATCTTTTATTTTTAAAATAATCCTTTGAACAGATTTTGAATTGTTATAAATGAGAATTTTAGAAAATTTTTATTTAAGAATATTATAAATATTATAATCACATTTCTTTTTTCTATTTTACATATTATAGATTTTTAAGCTTTAAAAGTAAGTTTTAAGAAGGATAAATATTTATTATTTTTTATTATTATTATTTATAATTTATATAGTTTTAATAACATAGCATAATATAACATTAATTTAGATTTGTAATTAGCATAAATAAATATTATATATAAAATAAATTTTTTTTTAAAAAAAAAAACCTCTAATGTTTAAATTTTTTTTAATTTGTTTTTATTTACTTTTTATTTAAACTTTTATAATATTTCAATTCAAAGATTTATTAAAACTATTAATTTGTAGAATTTTAAATTAGCTTAATCATAAACATTATATGATTATGTTTGAAATAAAATAGATATAAAGTATAGTTGATTAGCTAACAAATTATTAATTTGGTAGATATTTACGATTATTTAAGTAAAATAACTCGTCATTAATTTTTAATTTGAGAAATCAATACTGGGATGTGAAAAATAAGTTTATTCAATTTTCTAATGCAATAAATTTTTAAATTATAATTTTATTTATTTTATTTATTATTAATTCTGTAACTTTATTAATATTTAATTCTATTAATAAATTTAAATGATATTATTACTTGTATTAATTAAAAAATTTAATTTGTAAAATTAATATTTAACATATGATTTGTAATAATAAAAAAATTTTTTTGAAAATTTTTTTTAAGTCTAAAGCACAAGTGTAATGAAAGAGACAATTTTGAGTGATCGATAAAATTTCTGAGGGACGGAAGGATGATCACCAAAATGTAGGGAGAACGAAAGACCAAATGAAGATTGATTGACTTTAAGAATAAGTTCGTCGGCTTTGCAAGGTGATCAACAGCATGGTTATATAGATTTTTTTTTGAATTTTTGAAGAATTGTTGGTAATGGTGGTTGTGGTGGTTGTGTTTGTGATGATATTCGTAATGGTTTTTGCTAGTACTGTTGCTGTTTCTGTTGTTATTTTCTGTTATCGTTGATGATGAAGGATTAATCAGAACGAGAAGTTTAATATATCAATAATAAAAAAGTGTTATAGATTAGTTAGTTTTAAAGCTCATTTTAAAAAAAATTTCTAACATAATAATGGTGGTTCAGCTGATTTGATAAAAAGCGTTATTCCGTATAACGTAACTTTATTCATTAGATGATACACATTTGTTACCGTCAATTAGATTTTGAAATTACGCCAGAATTCTCGTTATTTATTAAATATTCTTTATGTTTAATGCATATGAGCCCATCTGTAATAGATAAACTGCGAAAAATCAAAAAATTAGTAAACTTGAGATTATATTTTTCAGGAGAATTCATCATTAATACATTTTTATTTTCTCGGAAATTTTATCTCTATGCTGGTCAAAACATTGATTGATATTCTAAATTCCTTTTTTTTTTTGATGGCGTTTACGGCACAAGTCAACAAAAATTTCGTGATACCAAAATTCTTTGAGCACGACATCCATTAAACAACGTTGTACGAAAAAATATTTTTTGGACACGCGCTTTTATAACCCCTTTTTAAGTACAACATAAAACAAATTCTTAATAAATATAACGCCTATTTTGCGTGAAATATTTTGTATTATTGATTGCATTTCCTTTTTTTTAATAAAAAATCTTTGAATTTTATTTATTTTTCATGTTGAAGAAAATGATGCGGTCATTAATTTTAATGCTTTTTATGGTACAATTCTTTTCGGTTAATGTTTATGGTCAAATGGACCCGAATTGTGGTAATGGTATAAATGATCCATGTAATCGGGCAAACGCAACAATATTACCATGTGATGGGCAACTCCCTCCAATACCTCCTGCAGCATTGAGTGGTGCTGAACCATTCAAGTTCACACTTACTGTTGGTAGTGAGTAACATATAACAAATCCAGTTAAAATTATTTTTTTTTGTTTCCAAAATTAAAAATTAATTTATTGCTTAATAAATAATTTAGCAACTGCAAATTTGGGCATATATAAATGTGCTTGTACCGCTAAATTTTATGATTTAGTTGCTGGCTGCGTTTCATGCTATCAAGGTCCGGGAATTAATATCACAGTAGTTTCTTTTGAAACTTTTTCGAATATTTGTCTCAATGAAGGCTATGATGTTAATGATCCATCGTAAGTTATTAAAAGTATTTCCCCAAAGAATCCTAAACTCATAATTTAATTTCTCATTAAATTGCAGTAAAGCACCTGGTAAAACACCAGCAACGTAAGTCTGGAAATATTCATTAGCTTGAACACAAATTTAAACGTCATTTAATTCTAATATAAATTTATAACTTAATAATATTAAAAGTCCGCCTGCTCCAGCTAAATCTCCAGCACCATCATCACCACCAACACCAGCACCAACGCCAAAACAAAATCCACAAACGTAAATACAAAAATTATTTTTACATCAAAATTTTTTCTTTTGCTCAAATTATAATTTAATACTTTATGTTTAGACCCGCTCCTAAAAAAGATTGTAATACTCCTAATGATCCTTGTAAAGCTGTCAATGAAACATTGACAATTTGTGGAGGAGAATTTAGTCCACCACCCAAATCGACAAATTCTGGAAGTTATAGTCCAAATGGTATGCTCTAAAGTTTTTCTTCAATTAAAAAAAAAAAAATTCATTTTATTTTTTCTTTAAAAAAATTAGATCCAAAGTTGGCGCCTTGCATGTGTAATGATAAATTTTATGAACAACTAAAAAGTTGTACGATGTGCTTTGCTACTCCAACGAATAGTATAACTGTTGCACCGCTTGATAAATTTAAAGAGGAATGTAATAAATTGGGCGTTACTTATGGTGCACCTCCGTAAGTATTTATATTTTTTTTTTCTTTTATAAAAAAATCTTTATTTACATAAATTCTAATAATAATTTTTTTTTTTTTTAGACCAAATGGTGGATTATCATTAGTGCCTCCGATTATTATACATTGTTTATTGGTTATGATCAATGTTATTTTTATAATCTATTAACTTATTCATCTAGTGTAAATATACAAAAAATGTGATTAAATAAATAAACGAAAGATAAACCTAATCTTGAAATATCAAAGTATATTTGTTGTTACTCAATTTACTTTATTAGGAGTAACAAAGCCGGAACGGATAAATTCTTGTCGATCGATAAAAGTAAAAGTAATCGTTACACAACGTCACGCAGAACAAATATTTACACAAATTCTTCGTTGCGCAAATTGTTCAACAATAGTTTAATGCGAATGGCACTTCTATTGTTTCGTTACTGCGCCTCGTTACTATTTTGCTTCGTCACCTACTTGCAGAACTTTTTGTAAATTACTGAAGTTACGTGTATCTATTTGCGTCGTCGTTGTTATCAATTAACCTCCATTAGTGATATAAATTATGAGCAATGCTTTGCAATGGCAAAATCATAACAAAATGATCCATTAAATTACCGACAAAGTCAGTTACTTATTGAAATACATAAGTTTTATTTATTATAAATGAAATGCAACATATCAATGACATGATCACGTAAATAATAATCATTGACAATTCTCTTTATCACAAATTTAAAGAAGTTTTAAATTGCAGCTAATCATATTTATTGAATTTGAAATTCAAGTCCATTAAACTGAATTAAAAGGTTACGAAAAGGATCTACATGCCACAATATGCCTTCCCTAGAATTAATATTATTAATATTTAAAGTGGGTTTGTTAAGCATTACAATAATTACTTCCCACCTTCTAACAATATTATTGCGTTCATATCACTCGATTTAGATTTTGTTCGTGAAACAGCAACGTCATTTTGACATTTACGTCTCAGAATATTGAGAAAATTCACTTAAAACAAATATCAAGTTTAATGTAAAAAACTTATTATTTTTTTAATATTTATCCCGACGGCCGACGGTTAATTTATAAAATCTAAAATAAATATTCATCCCGATTAATCCAGTTCTATATTTTTTCAAAAATTTTTTTTGTAAGCCCTCGGTAAATTTTTTTTATTGAAATAACTTTATTTGGCAAGACATTAAATAGCCCTTCAATTCTAATCCATTTTGATCTGATCCGATTGTCAAAAAATCCAATAGACAATAAAATTCATTTGAAGATCAGATCAAATAAACGGATCAACAGATCAAAAAATTTGATGATCTGAATGTTCTGAAAAAAAAACGCGTTCATGTTCTTTTAAAAAAAAAAATGATTTCACAAAATTTAAAAAATATAGAATCAAAATGTGA